CGGCCCCCTGGAAAGCGCGTCCCCGTCTTGTGTCCGCAGTGAGCGAGTTCTCCAAGCAGACGGGGGACTTCCGCAGCCTCTCCGCCGCCGACATCCAGGTCCTGGCCCTGACGCTGCAGCTGGAGGCCGAGCATGGCGGCGGCCGCCCCCTGCGGACGGAGCCGCGGCCCCAGGTACCTCAGGCGCCGAGTGTGAGGTCCTGGTGGGAGGAGGGGGCTCGGTGGGGAAGGGGAGGCTGAGCCAGCTCCGCTCAAGGCCTGTCCCCGGTGCCCTCTCTCCCTGCCCCGGACTCTGCAGGTGCAGCTCAGCTTAACAAACCGTCACCCCGAAGCCCCGGTGGACGTTCCTGGCTTCCATGTCCCCCTCAAGGTAGTTGTGGGAAGCAGCACAATTGGGGGCAGAAGGGCCCGGAAGCAGCTTCCCTTCTGCTGATGGCTGTGGGAAGGAGCAGCGCTGGCCCCAACTGGCTGGGAGCCTCCTTCTTCCCACTAAGCCTTCCCAAGACAGGCGGCTGGAGGATGCAGAGAAAGGGCCGGTGCTTTGCCAGTTCCTGGGACAGCAGCTGCCTTGACTGACAGGCGTCCCAGGGAGGCTGCTGCACAGGCCCAGCATCGACTGAGATTCATTGTGTTTCTCACTTTCAACCCCCAGACAAAATGCCCAGGGAATGAGAGGATCCCTTTGGAAGCAGAAACAGATCCAGCAGATCCTACAGAGACCGAGTTTTCTTCTTTTCTGTTCTGGAGGAGCCCTCTGCCTAACATAGAGGAGGACTTGGAGGGCCTGTTGGTAAGAGATCCCCTGCCTCCCTTCCCTCGTGGCTGCGTGACTGGACACCGGGGGGGGGGGATTCCTTGACTCAGGGGGCTTGGCAGAGACCCTGCCCAATTGGTCCGTCCTTCGCAGAAAGCAGACCCTCTTCTGTTGGAGACGGGGGACCTTGAAGGCCAGGAGAGTAGTGAGGAGGAGGAGAGCGGCACGGAGGACGGCTGGATCACGCCAAGGAACATTGAGCAGATCCAGAAGAGCACCTGCTGGGGGAGCGAGCCTGCCGAGGTGCAGGTCGGCTGCATCACCACCGACTTTGCTATGCAGGCAAGCGGACGAGACCAGGCAGCCCCGTTCACCCCCGTTGGGCCTCGCCGTGCTCCGATCCCCCCCCTGACTTGCCTTTTCCCTCCCTCCCCCAGAACGTTCTGATGCAGATGGGGCTACATGTGCTGGCGTTCAACGGCCTGCTGATCCAGCACGCCCGCAGCTACATCCTGCGTTGCCACGGTTGCTTCAGGTAGGTGGTTTGCAAGCGCACAGGCTGACTCCTGGCTGGGAAGCCACGGGGCATCCACGGGGCTGATGTGCTGCTCTCTAGGACGACGTCAAACATGACCCGGCTTTTCTGCCCCCACTGTGGGAACAAGACCCTGAAGAAAGTGGCCGTGACGGTGAAAGACGATGGCAGCTTCCACTTGCATTTTTCCCAGAACCCCAAAGTCCTGAACCCACGGGGTCTCCGGGTGAGTGCTCCGTACTGGTGCTCTGCTTCCCCTGCCCTTTCCCCTGTAGCAGGGGATGCCGATGCTCTAATCTGCCTCTCCTCTACTGCCCCCCCCCCCCGAAGTGCTGGGGGGGGGGGAGCAGCCGAGCTACCTTAGGCAGCCGTTCCCTGCTCGCCAGCCGCACGCCAGAGAACCGGTTGGGCCGGTCAAGGGTGCCCAGGGCCTCTGCAGCCCAGGGAAGGTCATGGCCTCCATGGGGGTAACGGCCTGCCGGGCTTGTCTCCACAGCACTCCCTGCCAGCTCCACAAGGAGGCAAGCATGCCAGTAACCCCCACCTGACAGAGGACCAGCGCTTCCCCCAGCAGCGGCTCTCCCGCAAGGCCAGGCAGAAGACCAAGGCCTTTGACCCGGATTATGTGGCTGGAGTTTCTCCCTTTGCTGAACACGACATTCACAGCCGGGCAGCCAATCTGCAGATCCGGGATACAGCACTGGGTGCGGGCAGGAGGCGCCTGAACCCGAACATGAGTCGCAAGAAGTTTATGAAAAGCAAGTGAGGGAGAGGGCAGATTCAGCCCTTCTTCGGCTGTGGGCGAAAGGGCCATTGTGAGGCAATCCAGGAAGGGCTGCAGGAAAAGTTGTCTTGGACTCTCGAGAAGCAGAGCAGCAGCATTTGGAATAAACCTTGGCTTTCCTTCAATTATGGCTGTTTCTTAGATGTCGAGAAAATAAATTTGGCTTCTTTCAAGTGATGCTTGGTGTAGCTGATATAAACCTTTCCCCCTAGAGACCCTTCTCTAGTTCCCCCTGTGGTGGGACAGTCCAAGCAGCCGAGGGGTCCTACTTTTCCCTTCCTTTCGTTCACCAGGAACCCAGAATGGATTTGGAAGGCTGGAGATGGGCCGGTTTTGTGCTACTTTTCTTCCAAGATGCTTCAGCGTAGCTGTCCAAGACTAAAGTGCGCTTCATCTGTCAAATGGGCATCTTGGCTTTCCTAACACCTGATGCCAGCAGCCTCCCTCTGGGGTTCTGGCTCTAAGCAGGCATATGATGAAACAATTCTTCTGGGAGGACACATTTGTTTGTCCTACACTCTTTGATTTTCTCCCTTGAGGGATCATTGCAAACTGAAGAAAGGAATTAAAATTTCTTCTTCCAGGAGGGTTTCCTGTGAAAGAGAATCTTTTGCAAGCTTGCTGTATTTCAGCAGCCGCAGGGGGTTAAATGCACAGAACCTGGAAGAGCCAGTGTGCTTTTTGGAACACGCTAATGCCCAGTTGCCTGAGCTGGCATGCTGGCCTTTGAACTCCGCAACCCCTTCAGCCCCAAAACCAAAACTCTGCACCTTGCTTTTCTTCTGACTGGGGTCTCATATGAGCCCAGGCCGCAGAGCCCACCAGCATTGGCAGCAAAACTGGTAGGGCTTTGTGGGGGGCCACTCCATTCTCCTGGGGGGCTCCGCACTGCTTTGGCTCCTTTCCAAGGACCCCACCCCGTCACCAGGCAAGCCTAGCAGGGTTTCCTGCCTCCTGCTCTGGGTCTACAGGGAGGAATATACGGAGACCTATATGGGACAACCTGTATGGAAACCAGGCAGCAGGGATGTTTCAGTGGGTGGAAGGCTGTGGGGGCCGGTGGGTGGGGCAGCCAGAGCAGGGCCAGCCTTTAGCTGGCAGGAAGCCACCTGTTTGTGGTGGACAAGGGTCCTCTGGGGCTCCTCCTGTTGTGGATACCAGCAAGGTTGCCACGGGGCCTGCCATCCTCGTTTTAATGTGCCCGGAGACGGACGGTGGGGTCGCAGCTGGGAGCTGGCGATTGAGACCGATTGGCAGCCTGAGAGCGGAGGGCCGGAGCTGAGGAAGGGGCCGTCCAGTCCCCGAGGCGCGGTGGGCAGCGCCGCCCCCAAAGGCCGGCGGTCGAGACCGAGGCGGGGCCTGCTGGGCCACTTTCGCCCTTTGGACCCCGACGCGCTGCTTCTCTGCGTCGCCGGCAGCTGCTCGTCCGCTCGCTCGTCCTGCCGCTGCGGTGCCGCCGATCCCCACCCATGGCCGGTAAGTCTCCCTCGCCCGGCCGCCGCCCCTCCGGAGCTCCGCCGCGCAGGTAGCGCCGGCTCGGGTCTGGTCGGGAGGGTCTGGGCCGGCGGGCTCCTGCTCTGCCCGGGGCGCCGCTCCTCTGGCTGCTCTCGGGGGGAGCCGAGCCAGGCGGCGCCTTCCTCCTCCTCCTCCTCCTGCTCTCCCGGCAGCGAGGCGGGCGCTGATCGTGCTGGCCCACCAGGAACCGGGCTCCTTCAACCACGCCTTGCAGCGGGCGGCCGTCGAGGCGCTGGAGAGCGGCGGCTGGAGCGTGGCCGTCTCCGACCTCTACGCGCAGCACTTCCAGCCGGTCCTGTCGCGCGCGGACTTCGCCGGTAAGCGCCCCGCCCGGCCGCCCCCCCTGCCCGGCCCCGCTCTCTCCGCCGCCTCCTAACCTCCGCTCGACCCCGCAGGCGACCCCGACGACCCGCGCAACCTCAACTACGCGAAGGAGGCCGGGCTGGCCTGGGAGGAAGGCCGCCTTAGCAGCGACATCCTGGGCGAGGTGGAGAAGCTGGAGGCCGCCGACCTCGTCATCTTCCAGGTGGGCGCCGGCCGTCTGCCCAAAGTCCGGTCTCTGCCCCGCGCGGCTGGCGCGTCTCCCGGCTGACGCTCCGGCGCCGTTCTAGCCGATGCCCCCGGGCGGAGCGCTTCGTCGAGCCGCCTTCTTTCGGGGTGGGAGAGGTCGGAGCCAGGCCAGGCCGGATGCCGCCCGGGGCCCTCAGCGGCGCTCTGGTGGTGAGCCCGGCTCTGCTTGCCTTCCAGTTCCCTCTGCATTGGCTCGGCCTCCCGGCCATCCTGAAAGGCTGGTTCGACCGCATCCTCATCCAGGGCTTTGCCTACTCCTACGGCGCTATGTACGACCAGGGGCCCTTCCAGGTAGGCGGCTGCGGGGAGCAGCTGCACTCCCCACCCTAGGCCGAAATGGGGGTCAGCAGGCCACACAAACCCAACTGGCATCTTGCTGCCCCCCCGTTGCTTTCTGGCCATCGCAAAGGCCATGCTGGCCCTGAGCCCCCGTGCCCTCTGTTGCTGGGGGGAACATGGCAGAAGCCCCAACACACACACACACACAGAGGCAGCAGTGGTGGTGACAGGCCCCTGCTGGCCCCTCTCCTTGGCCTGACTGTTCTTTGCTTGCCTGCAGAAGAAGAAGGCTGTGCTGTCCTTCACCACTGCCGGGATGGGCTCCATGTACACCCCAGCGGGCATCAATGGAGACATTAACATCATGCTCTGGCCGATACAGGTGAGGGAAGAAGCCCAGGGGCCCAATCTTGGCAACAGCTCCCTTCCTGCCCTGAGGATGGGGAGGCTGCTTAGTGCCTTGTTGAAATGCGGCCTCTGGAGAGTCTCCTGCGTTTCTAAGGTTTGTGTGCAGTCCGAAGTCCCAGGAGGGAGGGCTCCCAAGGGCAAAGAGAAATTCTGATATGCAGGAAGAGGGCCAAAATGGACATGCACGCAGGGCAGGCTCCAGCATTTCACAAGGTATTATCTGGTAATTCTGTTGATTTAATCTCTGGCAAGATTTGTTTGTAAATAAACTACTCCGAAGTAATAGAACAGCAGAAGGGCCTTGTGCTGGCCTTGGTCCTGTGGGCCTGGCAAGGCGTTCAGGTACGGGTGCTTCCTCCAAGGCCAAATGCCAAGACGGTGCATTTGCCTGGCTCCCGGTGAGCTTTACGGCCCCTCCTGTTCTCACCCATGCAGAGTGGCACCCTTCATTTCTGCGGCTTCCAAGTCTTGGCTCCCCAGATTGCTTTCAGCATCGGCCAGCGCACTCCGGAGGACGTCCGTTCCCAAATCCTGGAGGACTGGAAGAAGAGACTGGCAACCATCTGGGAAGAGGAGCCCCTCCGCTTTGCCCCAAACTGCCTTTTTGAGCTGAATCCGGCTCAGGGGTTTGTGCTGAAGGAAGATGTCAGGGAAGAGCAGGAAAGGGAGCCCTACGGGCTGACTGTGGGCCAGCACCTGGGGAAGCCATTCCCACCAGACAGCCAAGTCAAGGCCCAGGAGAAGCGACTGTCCCGTTGGGAAGCTGTGTAGGGCTGCAGTGGCCATGAGCCCTTCTCCCCCTCCCCTAGAAATCAGCCGGAGCAGGGAAAGGGGCCCCTCCGCAACAGGGCCTAGTTAAGACAATGGGGGGTCTTTCAGGCTCTTTCCCTTGGTGGTGTAATTGGGGGCTTCCATTGCCTGGAAGGGCTGCTGGCCACGGGGTCTGCTAGCCTTGCTTCAGCACTTGTGTGCCTAAACCCTGGGGGCCTTTCAACGTATTTAGGGGGCTGTCGGTGCCTGCTTTTAATCTGTCAGAAGTTGGGTCGGAAGTGATCGTTGCCCCTCCTCCTCCCCCCCCCCCCCTGTAAGTGTTCTTTGTGAAATAAAAGCCCTGAATGTGGACATTACGCCAATCTCCTGTGGTTAATTTGCCAGACTGAAACACGGTTATGCACTCCACAATAGCTACAGGTAGTCCTTGAGTTACGACAGTCCATTTAGTGACTGTTCAAAGTTACAACGGCACTGAAAAAAGCGACATGACCGTTTTTCACAGGACCGTTGCAGCGTCCCCGTGGTCACGTGATCAAAACTCAGATACTTGGCCATTGGTTCGTATTTATGACGGTCACAGAATCGCGGGATCATGTGATCACCTTTCTCACCGCTCCGATAAGCAAAGTCAATGGGGAATCCAGATCCACTTAATAACCATGTTGCTAATTTAACAAATGCAATGATTCACTTAATAACTGTGGCAAGAAGAGTCGTGAAATGGAGCAAACCCATTTAACGAATGTTTCACTTAGCAATGTAAATGATGGGCTCAATTGTGGTTGTAACTCGAGGACTACCTGTAGTGCCGTTTTCCAAATAAGCAGCTTACATTGAGGCCAATCGAGGCAACCCGATTCTCTTTCATTCACGCCTGTAGTCGTAGGCTGCTTTAGAAATGGCCGTCAGCCTTGCCGAAGAGACACGCACAGCTCAAGAAGCAGAGAAAAGTCCCTTTAGTTTTGGGAGACGCATCAGGTCGACTGACTCAGGTATCAGAGTGCAGAATTAATGGAGGACACCAACGCAGTGGTGAGATTACACTTTGTGTGGCCACTGTGATCACAACTAAAACCTCTGTGCCCAAAGTGCATCTTGGGGCATTCCCATTCCTATTAGGGGTCATCACGACCATTTCTCAGTCTGCTCCCCATAGAACAGAGCAAAAAGTTCCACCTCTGCTGGCAGCTGCCAAGTTGAAAGGCAAATGCAGGCCAAGTTCAGAAGATCACGAAGACTTCACTCCCGCATAAAGCTCTCTCTCCCCCACCCCACTTTGCCAAGACAGAAATCTGCACTTCCCCCAATGCTCTTCCCGGGATAAGAACTTCCAAGCCATCTCGAAATTTGTTGAGGAACACCAAGTATGCAGCCCCAAGTGGCAGACAGCTGGAGAAGCTGAGTGCAACCGAGAAAACGAGGCTCTGGAATGGGTGAGATGTCCATGCGCTGAGCCTCTTCCTGCAGCCCCTGTTCTTTGGAAGGCCCTTTGCAAAACTCGGGGAATGAATGCTGTTAAACGGGAGACGTTGGAAAGAACAGCACAAGAGTTACACACTGTGAAACGAAAACTTTCAAAGTTTTATTCTGGACTGCAGCTGTGTACAGAAATATAGTTGCAAGTATACAAATGTCCCAATTGAAGCAAAATATCTCTTTAATATCCAACAGGTTATCACAGAAGAGCTAAAAAAACAAATGCAAATGAAGGAAACCCCCCCCCCCAGCCCCTTCAATAGAACAAATTGAAAATTGGTTATCAGTGCTCTGAGAAACCCACCGACACAAAAGCCAGGGAGACACAAACGCACAAAGGGCCAAATGAGGCTACATTCACATTGCAGGATCCGGAAGGGGCTGCTCAATGGCTGCTTGATCTCTACCCAAAGCCAAGCAGGAACGTAGGAAACAAGGGGAAGGAAAGCAGGGGGACTCCGGGAGAAGGCAAAGCCTGGGCCCTCCCCGTTTCCCATGAGCCACGCAGCTCCCCTTGCAAGGTGGCCCCCACACTGGAGAAGCTGGGGCAGAGAGATGGAGGGAGAGCCTCTTCAGCATGCCCAAAGCTTTTGCCTCCAAGGAGACTCCATTCCCATGGAGGGAGCCTGACCCCCCCCAAGTCGACAGCCCAAATACAACCTCATGAACTTTTTGCTGAAAGAAGAAATGAAACTATGGTTTATGGGTTTGAGGATGAAGCCAGGCGTGGACTAAACAAGGGACTGAGGGATTATTCATTTATTTATCTATTTATTTATTTTGTATGCCGCCCACTCTCAAAAAGACTCAGGGCGGCTTACAATAAAAGGGAGGGGGGGATATAAAAAAATAAAATAAAACAACAGTTTAAAATTATACAACATTCACAAACCTGAAGTGGGGCTGGATAGTTCAACAGCCCCCAGGTCTGCCGGAACAGCCAGGTCTTAGTCGCTTTGCGGAAGGCCGGAAGGGTGGTAAGGGTCCGGATCTCAACGGGGAGATCGTTCCAGAGGGGCGGAGCAGCGACAGAGAAGGCCCTCCCCCGGGGGGTCGGCAGCTGACATTGACCAGCTGATGGAATCCGGAGGAGGCCTAGTCTGTGGGATCTAATAGGTCTGTGGGAGGTAATTGGCAATATACATTTTATGATATATCTAAGGAGGGATTATTAAAGCAACTATCTGTTGAAAAGAAAATTCATTAAATTCTTTTCTTTTTTTCATTTCTTGCACTTTCCTTTTTCTTTATTCTACAGGTAGTCCTCAATTTACGACCACAACTGAGGCTAGAATTTCCATTGCCAAGAATGGCAACTGTTAAGTGAATCACACCCAATTTTACCAACGTTTCTGCCGTGGTTGTGGAGCCAATCACACAGTTGTTAACTGAACCTGTCTTCCCCCATTGACGCTGCTTGTCAGATCTCGAACGGCCGTCCCTCCACCCCGGGATGCTGGAACCAGCAGCTCCACACGCCAGTTGCCAGCGCTGGGATTTTGATCACGTGACCACGGTAAGTGTGAAGATCCGTTGTAAATCATTTTTTTCAGTGTTGTTGTAACTTCGGTCACTAAAAGAAAGAATGTAAATCAAGGACTACCTGTATGGGAAAGTTCTTAATATAAACTTTAATAAAGGGGATGTGTCAGACCTGGAAGCCATCTTTTACACTGGGCCGTCAGAACCCTGACGCTGTATTTGAAAAGACTATACTTTCTTTTAAACTGTAATCTTCTTCCTGGGGCTTATATCCATGAACCTTGACTTGATTCTACAAACGAATCCCATAATCTCTGCTTTAGCATAAAAGGCAGGGACCCTCTCCCACAAGAAAAGATGGGTCCTTCTCCTACGATAGCCTTCTTGTGTATTTTAATTACGTGTATTGTGTTTGTATCCCCTTTCCCCTTTTGAGTTGTTTGCCGTCGTGAGTCCCTCCCGGAGAAGGGCGGCATACAAATAAATTAAATCTTAATCTTAATCTCTCATATTCCTTGCGCCAGTGCTCTGAAAACAGCCAGGTGGGGAATGCAGCCTTCGCTGGGTTGCTGAAGCAGCCAGGTGCAGGAGGAGTTGCCAAGGGAAGCTCTCCTTACTCCGCCCCCTTTGCCCACAGAAAGCAGGAGCAAAGATGTAGGACCAGCCTCTGCCAGCTACTGAGCAGCCCCTTTGATCCAAAAAGATACATTTGGTAACCAAATCACATATTCAAAATGTTGCACATTTAAATATTGACCTAAACTGGACCAAGGAAAAGTAAAAACCAACCAACAAAATTATCAGTTTCACCATTTTGAACGAGCAGCAGATGCTGATGTCACAAGAAGTGGCAAGGAGGATCAGCAGCTCCCTGGGGATCTGGGCAGAACCTCAGTTCAATGAAGGATTGGTCCCAGGTATCTCAGCATTGGCCCCAAGCAGCTCACCAGACGGCCCCTGCTCATCCCCCCCCCTTCAGAGAGGACGGGAGACCTCTTAACAAGGAGCTGACCTCAGACTGTGATACGTTTCCTCCCCCCCTACACACAAAACAAGTAAACTGGCTTGGGGACTTTTGCCCTCTCCTTTCCACCTCCCCATAATTCCCTCCGCATGTGTGCATCTCTCTTTCTCAGCATCAGAGTTAGGTTCAAGGAATCTATAGGATTTACAAAAGAGGGAAAGCAGAGAGCATTAGTGTTATAAATTAAAAAGCCAGCAAAAATGTCAGACATTAACAGAGAATAAAAGTGGAATCAAATCCCAGCTTTTAAGAAGTCACCCCAAGGGACTCCCCTGCTGAGCCCCCCACAGCAGGAGGCCCATCCCTTGCGGGTGAAGCTGCCTTCATGGCCAGCCAGCACTGATGGAATGGCCAGACAAAGAAGGAACACCTGACACAAAAGTTACAGAAATACTCCATGAAGATTAAAGAAACCTGTCCCCTTTCCCCCATAACCAGATGCCATGTGGTGGGAGAAGAGACTATAAACTCACACATTTGCCACAAAAAATCTGTGGCAAGAAGAATATATGTGTGTGAATGTATGTGTGTATAATATATATATTATATTATATATATATATATGTCTGTGTGTGTGTGCCAATGTACTCATCTAGTACAAATAGCAAAATAGTTTATCATTTACTAAATACAAAATAGAGCTTTCCAAAAAATGAAACACACATTAGATATAAACCATCCAAAACTTGAACGACTGAAAACTGTATTCAAAATTAAATGACCTCGAGGAGGCCTCTTTCTGAAAAGTTCCCTTCATATTGGCAAAAGAGCCTGTACTACTGAAAACGATACCCAAACCTCTTGGGACTGAACACACGGACCACTAACAGAGGAGACGGACTGGCACAGCATGAGAAAGAACCCCCCCCCCTCCCGACAGGCGCACGAGGGAGACAAGCGGCCTTCTTCTCAGCCCAGAAGACAAACAGCCGAGAGGTCAGCGAGAGCCGCCCAGGGCCACTCTGGAGTGGCAGACGCCCCGCGCAAGAGGCCTGGAGGCGGCTGCAGGCGGTGGAGCCCAGGAGAGCCTGCGCACTGGCCTTTTCGCAAAGGCCTCTGACAGGAGCGAGGCTGCTCCCCTGCCCTGGAGCTCAAAATGGAGCTCCATGTTCCCAGCATGGAGCCTCCATCTCCCGGCAACGGTGTCGAAAACAACCTAAATTCTACTCTTTCTTCCTTAAATCCTGCCATGTATTCACCACAAATATTTCTTTTCTGCTTTTCTAGTCCGCCGGAAAGTTAATTCTGTATATGACAGAATATTTAAATAGGAGGGTGGAAACTCCAGGGAGAAGCTTCCAGAGGAGTCAAAGCAGACTCCGAAACAAGTTCCTTAGACCAGCAACTGCCAAGGGGGAACAGCCGAGCACTGAGGTCCCTTGCGCCCGGCTCTCAGCAAGCTACAGCCGTGATCCGAGGGTGCCTGCCCTGCAGGGCCCTCCTTGTGCCCCCTAAACCTCCCCCACCCCAGGGGCTCCTCCCCCACTCTCTCTGACGGGAGCCGCTGCTGCTTCAGAGCCCAATCCAGACATGCACAGTCACCACCCGAACAGGTGCAGCATCAAGACGTGATCCTGGGTGGGATTCATAGCATATGCAGAAGACTTGTGCCATGCCACTCCCGCCACAGTTTTCAATGGAAGCCATTTCCATAGGTGGCCACAAATCATGGGGAACCGTCAAAAGATTGAGGACACAGGAAATGTGCCCAAAGAATCGTGAAAACCAGAAAAGGACCGGGAGAGGGAGGGGGAGGGAGCCCATTGTTCTTGCCTTGTGCTGACATGTGACAGCCATGCTCCACATCCCTCTGAGAACTGGGGATGGGGATAACAGTCCAACCCATGCCTGGATAAGACAAAACCCGGCTTTGCCCCCCACTTCAGCTTGGGGAGTGGGATTCCAGCTTCCAGAGTGGGATTCTTCCAAAGCAAGGATGAAGATGTTGCTTTCGGCCACCTTTCAACAGAGAAGAGAGAATGCTACTTTGCTAAACTCCAGAATAGCCAGAGATGCAGCCTGTCCAGTGCAGGATTTCTGAATGAAAAAAAGAAAACAAAAGGACATTTATAAATAATACAAAGACTCGCCCTCCCTCCCTCGTGTCCAGCAGCCTTCAGTAACAGGGTTTTCTCCATGAAAAGGGACTCAGTGAAAGGCTGTCATCGGATGGAAAGTGGGAACAACCCAGCGCTCTTATGGGCTCATGTTGGAGCCCTGTGATGGCAGCCCTCCATTCTTCTCTAGGCTTATTGCTTTCAGTCCATGAGAAGGTAAACAGGAGAGAACACCAGTAGCCTCACAATAGTTGCTTCTATCAGCTCTGTCTCTGGTGCCAGCTGGGCACAGCCTGCCACCCTGTGATGAGCGAGACTGTAGTCAGGGATTCAATCTGGGATTCTTTGGAGCTTGTAGAGCAAAGCTGTGGGATCTGCTACCTGTAGCTTAGAGCCGTGATCCTCCTGGCTCTTCAGGCTACTAAGCAGGCCGGGTTCATTGCCTTATTGGTAAAATTGTTTAGCTGCCCATCTGACCACAAGGCCACTCTGAGCAGCTCACGATACGAACAGATAAAACTATACAAAACCTAATGATATAAATACAATACTATAAACCATCTGGATAATCAACCGTGCTCTAAGATGGGGAGGGACAAGAAGGGGGGTGGGAGCTCTTGCTAATCTATTCACCACCCCAACACGGAAGCCCCCTCCTTTGGAACCCCAAGCCAGCTGGCAGAGCCAGATCTTTAGGCTCTTGTCGAAAAGTCAGGTGGGTTGGTGCCAACCTCACTTTGGGGGGCAAGATGTTCCAAAGGGCAAGCACTATGGCAGAGAAGGCTCTTCTCCTGGACTCCAAGAGCCAGAACGCTCTGGCCGATGGGCCCAACCAGGCCTCCTCTGCAGCCACAGGTGGGGCGGGCCAACCCCACTGGGAGGAGCCTAAATTCAAGCAGCAGCCATTGCTTCCCTGGAGGAGGAGATTATGCTGTGGCTTTGGGAGAGGCAGCCTCGTGCCCCTCCAGGAAGGAAGGGCTGTAAAGGACGGAGGAAACAGAATCGATGACAGAAGAGGACGCAGTTCATCGGGATCCCTTTCACTCTGGACCCCGTAACATTCAATCAATCCAATAAAAAAGTGCTGAAGTTAACATGGCAGTGCTAGAGTGCCTTTTTGACAACTGCATTCAGAATTTCAACTCTGCCTCAAGTTTTAAAGGAACAGGCGTCTAGCAGTAATGATTAAGAAGACGTATGACGGCCAACAGACTCCATCCACAGGGTTTTCTAAGCAAAATCATTTCAGTGGTAACCTTTGGACACAGAGCCGTCTTTCCCTCCTAAAAACAAGGGCCCGATTCAAGAATTAGGCCTGCACTCCATCAGCTCACAAGAGGAGGACTAATCCCATCTCCTTTCCAGGCAAACCACAGCAGCACAGAGAATGCTACCTGCTCTCCAATGTCAGCTCAAGAAAAGCTCCCGGCTTACCTCGCTTGTTAGAAGGAGCTGGCCATGGCATTGTTCCCCTGATTTTGGAGGGATACAAGCAGGTCATCAATCTTCTTCATATTCTGATTGGTGGTCATTGCAGAAGAAATCTGAGGACTCTCTGACATTTGCTGGGACAGGAGAGCCGTGACAGACGGCTGTACCTCGTTCTGTGCTTGGCTGAGGGTCATCATCTGCTCTGACACGGAACCCGGTCCAGACGTTAACAGCTGGCCACAACCTGCTGAAGAAACAAGGTTCCAACAACACATCCAGATCCAGGTTGACAACCAACATGGTCTTGCAAGCATCGCTCAGAGCCAAGTGGAAACTTGCTGAGCAGGGAGAACTAAGCAGAATCACGGCTCTGAATGCCAATTTCAACTCAAGCACTTACAATGCCCGTAAAACCCCCCAGCATTTTGGGATCGGAATTAATTCTGTGTTTGTGTTTTCATAGCTTAAGTATGTAAAAGGCCAACATTAGAGGCAGACTAGCAAGGGGAACCTAGTGGTCTTTAGACTTACTGTCTTGGATGCCAAAGAGGAACATCCCGGAGGTCTGGGGGGATGAAGCGGAGGAGTTCTGCAGCTGGCTGAGGGAGCTTCCCGCAGATGCATTGTGAAACAAAGAGGCTGCCTGCTGCTGCTGCTGGGGGGGCGACGAAGAGTCCTGGATGTTTGGCAGGCTGCTCTGGGAGGGATACAGAGGGGGTTGCTGCAACTCCTGTTGGCCCATGTTGCTCTGCAAGGCAGACATGGAAGCCGATGATAGGAAGAGGGTGACTGGCTGCTCCTGAGCACTGGGGGATCCCAGCTGCATCTGGGGGGAGCCATGGAATAAACCCGGCGGCGGTTGTGGTGGCTCAGCTTGGGTGGAGCCTGAACCCTGGCTCTGGAACTGCATGGGCTGCTGCTGCTGCTGCTGCTGCTCTTGAGCCCTCTGGGGGTGGAAGAGAGGCTGGCTCTGCTGCTGCTGCTCCTGACTGGCCATCGTGCTGGGGCTGGAGCTGAAGAGCAGTGTTGGCTTCTGGGAGGCCACGGAGCTCATGGGGTTCTGGCTGCTGAACCGCAGGCTTTGCTGCTGCTGCTGCTGCTGCTGCTCCTGGGCGGAGGCACTGGTTTGAAGAGCCACAAGTGAATGCTGGGCTTGGAAAATGCCCCCCTGCTGGTTGGGAGGCACCCCAGAGGGAGGGAGGGGGGCCAGAGTCACTTGGGCCTGGAAGAGGCCCTGATGTGTCGGCTGGTGCTGCTCCTGGGCGAGCAGAGGCCCTTGGAGGTGGGGCTGCTGGAAGGAGGGCTGCTGCTCAGCCCTGGCCGGGCCTTGCAAGGGAGAGAGGGAGCTTTGGGTGGCGAAGAACGGCATCTGCTCCTCCTGCGCATTCTGGGGGAGAAACAGGCTGCCTCCCTGCTGGTCCGGAACCACCCCGAGGCTCCCCTGGGAGTGGAACATGGGCTGCTGCAGCTGTTCAGAAGAGGCGGCAGCGTTCTGGCTGTGGAAAAGAGAACCGGGGGCCTCCTGAGAGATGCTCTGGGCGTCCCCGATGGGGCTCTGAGAGTGGAACAGCTGAGGCTGGGAGTGGGCAGCCGGGGACAAGAAGCTGCCCGCCTGGAGAGAGAGCATCTGCTCCCCACTCTGCTGGAAGAGCCCCCCGCTCTGCTGCTGGGCCCCGGGGCCTTGAACGGCAGCCAGCATCTCCTCCGAGGAAGGGAAAAGGGCCACCTGGGCCTGGCCTTCCCCACTGTGCTGCATTTGGACCATGGCCTGAAAGACGGTGCTCTGCATCTGCTTGGCTTGTCCGGAGGCTTCTTTGCCTTCCGCAGAGCAGCCTGAAGCAGGGAAGAGGGCAGGGCCGCCGGCGGGCACCTGCTCCTGTGGCTGCCCTGGGGTAGCCGCGTCGCTGTTGGGGACGCTGGTGGGGGAGAACAGCTCACACTGCATTTGCATGTCTTCGCTTGCTGACAGCCCGCCTATCAAATGGGAAGTTTGCGTGTAAACTGGGGACTGCTGGATGCTCCCATTTCCCGAGGAGGAAGAGGAGGAGGAGGAGGAGGAAGAGGAGGCGAACAAGTCGGACGGCATGCGGCCGGGGGCCTGGCAAAGGCCTTGCTGCATGTCAATCACCATCGCAGCAGACGTCTCCATCGCTTGCGCCTGCTGCTGCGCCTGCTGCTGCCCGGCCAACGAAGCCTCCGGCTGTGGGCGCATGATCTCGCTTCGGCTGGGGAGGAGGTCTTCTGCCCGCGAGTGGACGGTGTCCGCGGAAGGAAACATGCCCTGGTTGACTCCATTTTGGATCTGGCTGACCTGCTGGAAGATCTCTGCGTTGAGCTGCTCTTGCACATCCTCGCCCTCGGAGCCTGAGAAGAGGACGGAGGACAGCTGCTGCTGAGCTTCCAGGACTTGCTGAACCAGGTCAATGTTTCTGCTGCTGCCGCCTCCGCCGTCCCCGGGGCTGGACTGAAAGCTCCCCGCCTGCAGCTGCTGGATTGTGCTCTGGAGCTGGCTCACCCCGCCGGCCGAGGAGAACATGCTGGAGGAGATCTGCTGCTGCTGCTGCTGCTGCTGCAGTGCCTGGCTGGACTCCTGAAGGGGAGGCGGCTGTTGGGGAGCCTCCGTCAGCTGGGACAAAGCCATGGCTGTGCTGTCCGACTGCAAAGCCTCTCTGGAGGAAGCTTCCCTCAAGGGGAACTGGGAGGCCTGCTGCAGGAGGCTGTCACTGTTCTGCAGCTGGCTCGGAGCAGAGGTGGCTGCAAAGCTGCCGGACTGCACCAGGTCCGGAGCCTGAAGGGCAGGCCTGGTGTCAGGAGGGTACTGTGGTTGCGGGGGCTGTTTTTCGCTCTCTGGAGCTAAATGAGAAGCAGAAGAGGAGAATGGGCCACTCCCCAAGAGGCTGGATATGGTGGTTTCCAAAGTTGTTTGAGACTGCCCGATGGCGCTGGTTGTCTGAAGGGAAACATGCACACACAGCAGTAAGATTTAGAATGTTCACTGCCTAACCATCATTCAGGGAGAGAAATAAACTATCCTGAATTCTACATTATATACTTTCAACTGAAACCCCTCCCCCCAATTTTTAGATATCCATTCATTACACCCTTAATTTGCATTTTTATGAACATCACCATGAAGAAGAAAGCTACATTGTTCTATCGCTATATAATAATGTGTTAAAACTACAGTCAGAAGACATAAAGCCTTTTTCCCCAATTTGCTAGAAGGGGGACAGTTCTTCTGGTGGGCAAAACTGTTAATACGTGAGTTTTTTTGATGCCACTTCAATTTTAAAAGAGTAATATATTATCGTTTTATCACCTCTTTCCCTTGCTTATTTACAAGCAAGGGAAAAAAGTATTTTCATTTTAGTTAAACTCCTTCTAACAATTGGAAAAAGTGAAAGAAATATTTGTAGTCCTACCAAAGCTATCAAATTAGATATCAAACTACATTTGATGCCATCAAATGTCCTGAATTTATAGCTTTTATAGTTTTCTTCTTTTTTTAGAAAAGACATATGCCCAGAATCATTTTTCAATTGCTGCTTACATTAAAGGCAGGAAGAGACATTTTCTCAGCCAAAAGTTCCATTGGAGCAGCCTCTTCATTCTTAACGATACTGTTTGGCCTGAGAGGAGTTACCAAGGCACTGGGGAGAAGGTTTACTTGGTCCAACTTGCAACCACTGGAGTTTACTGCAGGAGACAAAGAACAGAATTCACTAGGTCAGCCCCAGGAGGATGAAACTCAACAATACAGTATCTAAGACAGAAAAGGGCTGATGATCTTTCCCGGCACTAGCCTGTCTCTGCAGTAAAAGGCACCCCTGAAGGCCAATGTCACCCCAAATGGATGCTACACACGCAAACACCCAGGTCACCCTGAGGACTGACACACCTCTCATGGTTCACCTTACCAGCAGCACAAAGACCTTAGTCTGCTTGTTAGGCCAAGTAATCTCTGGCTTGCTTGTTTATTACGTTTATATCTCACCCCAGTAAAAATCATTCTCAGAGTTAAGCATGTTAAAAGGGCCACAAGATTTTGTAGTGCATTTTTGGAAGTCGGCCGAGAAACAGACCAAAGGAGAAAGGACACACATTAACAGAAAATATCTGTAGCCCTAAAGTTCCCAAATAAGTCACTCAATGGGATGAACTCAGCAGTTTTACGAAGTCTTCGCCTAAGGTAATAAGAAAGGCTGCGGTTGAGAATTACCTTTGGCTACATCATCAAAAGAGCAGGGCTGGGTTGAGCTGGATATTTCCTGCTTCACATTCACATTCAGAGTCTCAGCTGCTGATGAAGAAACAGATCATTCAGGAAAGATGTAAGCAAGGAAATTATACCTCAAGCTTCCCACTTTTTCAGATCAACAATAAGCAATAAGTGTACACATTTCAAGAACCAAAAGCCAACGAACGAAACATTCAGCACAGCTCCCGCAAATCTCTGGTAATTGCACACTACAATCACTGCCCAGGATTTCCTCAAGCCAATGTTTCTTGTTCCCTGGCCAGGCAGTGCAATCTTTGACCAAGACCCCACACCTTGCAAATTCAGTGCCTTTTACATACAT